TCTACGTATGTACAAATTCTAAAACGAGGTAAGTTATTGAAAAGCATGTTCATGAAACAAGAATATCAGCAGTCTCGTTTAAAGTCATCATTTCGTAAATATATGGTCGATACAATGAGTTTGTCATTAAATACAATTTATCATTGAGTCACATGCAGGCTGACGTTTTTTCATACTAATTGTTAGTCCATTATTTATATACTGAATTGACGACGAATTTTCCCGTTATTTTGATCATGACAAGAAGCAAACAGCCGGTGTGACCAGTCAGCAGGGGATGCTCACTCTTCCATGGCACCTGATCCCACCTCTGATGTTTCGGAGGTCCTAATTTGTATTGTTTTATGGACTTTGATATTGAATACTGCTTGTTATCTCCATATCCTATTTAGACCTACCAACCTTTGTTATATGAAGAAGGCCCGTGTTATGTTTTTATAGGTTAAATATGCTAATATATGTTAGTACAAATTAAGTTTTAGTCAATAAAGAATTTAATTCTAAATATATATACACAGTTTCTAGTGATTTGCAAAGTTTTGTTTTGTTTTAAGCATGATATTTCTACATGAAAACAAAAACAAGATACGAGCCATCTTTATGTAATGAAGAATCTTTAGTTCTATATCCCCTTTGTAAAACAACAAACAATATTCAATCTTTTGCTGTTCATTAGAATTGCCCCAGTAAGGAATTGTAAACATTAAAATTTGTAAAAAACAAAAAAAAATCAAAACAAACAAACAAAAAAAAATACAAACAAACAAACAAAAACAAAAAACCATTAAGCTGAAAAGGTTTTCATGACCCTTTAGGTAGTAAGAAACACTTGATGATGTCACAGAATTGTCGTTTAAGAAAGTTTTTCAGATCGTGTAAATTGAAATTTTTTTCAAGTTCTAAATAATCAAAATCAACCATGCTTAATTGAAAGCGGTTATATATTTTTCAATACTTGAGGGGGTGGGGGGTCAACTATGTTCTCGACACTACTACTGTATCAATACGCCAATTGTTTCATCGTTTATTATAAGAATCGCTACTGTGAATTTACAAAAACTGAAATCTGTAAATTGATTCAATGTCAAAATGATTTGCCAATTTGCAGTTATATTGCCAGACACTTATTAACAGTCATAGTCGGATACTGTACATTAAGTGGCAAGTTATAAATTGCTATAAATCGCTGTATCTAACAATGTGTTCAATGTCACATTTAGATTATTTAATTGATATGAAGTTAACTTTTTTATCAAACAGAATTATGAATTAACTAGACGTTCTAAATAGTCTTGTTTTATTTAGTAAGATATTTTCACTAAATAAGTCTATATTAACGAACAGTTGGTAATTGAAATATTTGTCTACCCGATACATATCAACCGTCAATATGGACAGTCTTTTAATTTGCAAAGAATTTTAAAGAAAATACTTGGAAATGTAAGTATATCTTTTGACGACATCTTAATACAAAGTGTCTAGTACAGCAATCTCTGTTGCAATATTTGAAGATAAGAAGATTCACAAGTCAATGAACAAGAATGTATAAAATGGTTAAGGTAACGCACAGTGGTCGATCTAGAAATTTAAACAAAACTATAAAGGAGGCATAAACAAGGAACACTGGAAATTTTAAAGGTGGAATCAGGTGCCAAGTAGGATTAAGCATTCCCTGTTGACCGGTCATACCCTCGTGAGCATATCTACTAATGAGGTACTGGTGGATGTAACATTCGTAGTCAATTTTGGGCTATTTCAAAGCACAAATAAGTCGTCCTTGAAGAAAGCGAAAACCATCCTACCCTCAAATCCAGGCCTTAACATATCAGTCCCCCTAACACCATTACTATGACCACTAGTAAGGTTTTCCTGTCCATTATCAATTATGTACCTCTGTAGATGATACAGATTCAAATGTCCAAGTAAACACAACTGTTAAAGCCGAGGTGCTTATTATACTCAATATCATTGAGTCAAATCCTGACTGGCGTTTTTCATACCAATTGTTAGTCCATTATTTATACACCGAATTAACGACGAATTTTTCCGTTATTTCACGATCATGACAATAAGCACACGGCGGGTGTGACCGGTCAGCAGGGGATGCTCACCCCTCAATGGCACCTGATCCCACCTTTGCTCCATTTTTGTATTGTTTTTATGGACTTTGATATTGAATACTGTTCGCTATCTCCATATCCTTCTTATACATGTTTCTTTTGCTATATTGTAATTTGAAATTTATAAACTGATCTTTAATTTTGGACAAAACACGAGTAATTACAATATAAATCGAAGAATATATGTATTCCGCAGGTAGCTTCGCTACTTTCACTTTTACTTTTGTAAAAAAAATGCAAGACATTTTATACCTATAACCGGTGAACATTACCGTAAACAATAATTTTTTTTCTCTTTGACTGCTATAACTTTTTAGACATTTAGCTTTTAAAAGTTTAAGTTATTTTTCTGCCGATTTACCAGGTATTTCTTTATATTGTTGGGGTGTGTTCATTTCAGCCAATCAAAAACTTAACCATAATTTTGGTCAACCTCGTTTTGGTGTTACAAAAGATCTCACGTATCTTTACCGGACTCTCTGGCTGGTCGGATATTTACAGAGACAGCCGAGTGTCTGGTTCAACAATACTAACTAAAGTGTCATATATCAATAAAATATACAAGGCCACCAATTCACTCCAAATAGACACATAAAATATTCTAGATATAAAAGTATCTCTAATATATATGGACATTCAAAACTTTCGCAATTTTTTCTTATATTTCTACTGAATCCGAAATTTTTCTCTGCCATCTTAGCAAATTGACTTATTGAGGCATACAAGGGATACTTCGGGAAGAGATACAAGTGGATTGGTATGCTCGTTTGTTGTCCTCTGCTGGACGTGGGGGATATTAATTTCGGTCTGTCTGTCCGTCTGTGATTCTGTATTTCTGACTGTTTGTAACACTTTAATGTCCACGCGATATCTCGAGAAATGAAATTCTACACAAATTAAAGTTTTTCAATCATCAAATTCTTTTTTTACAACTAAAAGTGAAAGTAATCTGACAGAACTTGTGATTTCAAGGATCGTTTTAGAAAAGTTTTGTAAACATATACTGTATGTTGTTCATGTTCAATAAAATCATTGTCTGACAAAAAAATCAACGTATTATGTAAAATTCAAGTAAAAATAAATGTAATAGTATCCACTAAAACCACTTCCCTATAGAGAATTACAATGCACCTTTCACAATCGTGGAGATCTCAGAAACGATAAAGGTGTCATTCAATAATCTGTAACACTAAATCAATACAATCATCTTGTATATACACCAGACAAAATTGCTAACGCACCACCTAAGAGAATTGACATTTTACTTTTAAAAACCTGTTTATGATGTATTTGATATATAAAAATGTTATTTTAATAAAATATAATGCATATTAATGTCAAACATTATAAATAACTACAATGTTTACTCAAATGTGACCAATTCATAGAAAAGATAACAAATTGTGTCTATTCCATTTTCGATGAAAATAATTTCAATTTTTTCTTTGTATTTGAGTTGTTTACATTTGTACAAAAATAAACTCAGAAAAAAGTTGAAAACGTTTTCGGCATTTAACGCTGAAAGAGAATGCTAAAAAATACATTGTGGCGTTTGCATAGGGGTTTCTTTAGAGAAATCTGTAAATAATGAAAACAACAAAACTGGGTCAACCGGAAGTTGAGTGGATTTGGAATAATCAACACTAATACATCAAATGATTATTATGCTATATGAGAGCCAATAACTGTTGTTATTTGATTTATAACAGGGGGACTAATCCTGTGGTAACCTCACAGACCACCCTTAGTGATCAAGCATTTCATATCTGGGCAAAAATAGTGTGCAGTGCACAGATTGAAATTGGTTTTCGGAAAAGAAAAGAAAGTCATAAAAGGGTCTTTTCATAATACCAAGACATTTGCCAATCCCACTGTTTTGGAAATAATGGCATGTTATATACACTAGTACCGATCTGGCAAATTTTGTCATATGCAGACAAGAAAAGAGAATATCTTTGTAGTCTTGATGAAGCAGTTACTGGAACGCCCTTCTGAGGACTAAAGATGTGTATCAGAGGCTGATGATCTGTGATCAACTTGAATTTTCTGCCAAACAGGTAAGAATGGAATTTCTTAATTCCCCATATGATTCCCAAGGCTTCTTTATCAATTTGGGAGTAATTTTTCTCTGCTGGTGCTAGAGTACGTGAGGCGAATGCGATTGGTCTCTCGGTACCATCAGGTAACTCATGAGAAATAACAGCACCAAGTCCATAGGGTGATGCATCACATGCTAGAGAAATTGGTAAATCTGGATTGTAGTGTGTCAACACCAAGTCTGAAGCTACCAAGTCCTTCACCTTGTTGAATGACTTCTCACAGGCCTCAGTCCATTCCCAACGACTATCCTTCTGCAGTAACGTGTGTAAGGGTCTAAGTACAGTTGCCAAGTCAGGTAAGAATTTACCATAATAATTCACCAAACCTAAGAATGATCTTAGCTGGGAAACATTGGTTGGTGTAGGTGCCTTTACTATAGCATCAATCTTCTCTGGTGTCTTGTGTAGACCATGTCGGTCAATCATGTGTCCACAAAATGTTATATTCTCTTTGAAGAATTCACATTTTTTAAGTTTGCACGCAAACCATACTGACTTAGTCTTTTCAAAACCATGTCCAAATTTCTGAGGTGTTCCTCGTCAGTCTTTCCTGTGATGACCATATCGTCTAAAATACACTGGGTCCCTGGAACGCCCTGTAAGACTTGCTCAATTGTCCTCTGCCAAATAGCTGGTGCAGACGCAATTCCAAAGGCCATCCTATTATAGCGGTACAATCCCTTGTGTGTGCTTATGGTCAGTAGTTCTTTGCATGCTTCATCCACAGGAAGTTGCAAGTATGCTTGTTTCAAGTCGATCTTGGAGAAATGTGTTCCTCCGTTCATATTCGCAAAAATATCGTCGTATATTGATCGACGTTAAGTAGCGGGTTCAGAGTGACCTTGAAATCTCCACAAATTCTTACACTTCCGTTTTTCTTCAAGACAGGTACGATTGGAGTTGCCCAGTCACTATGTTGGACTTTGGTAAGTGTTCCCTCTGCTTCCAGTCTGTCAAGTTCTTCCTCAACTTTTGCTCTTAAGGAAAATGGCACTGTCCTTGCCTTGACATATTTGGGCTTGTTTTCCTTGAGTGACAGCTTGGCTGTGATACCTTTGACAGTTCCCACATCATCACTAAACACATCCTTGTATTTCTCCAAAATTTCACTAATGTTTGGTGGATTTACAGTGTTTACGGCATGTGTCTCTTTGATCACTTTCCAGTCAAGTTGAATTTCCTTCAACCAATCTCTGCCGAGAAGCGCTGGTCCTCCTTTACGAACAACATACAAGGGTAATGTCTCTTTCGTGTCATCATATTCAACTAGCACATCTATATAACCCACTGGCTTGATGTGTTCTCCAGAATATGTGCGTAGCGTGATGTCCGGGGTTTTCAAATTTAGGTTTCCAAACTTTTCTCGGAACTCCCCCTTCGCCATGACTGACACAGCAGAACCAGTATCAAGTTCCATCTTCATCGTCTTTCCGTTTATTTTCAGCTGGATCCAGATAATATCCTTTCTTGCCAAATTGTTAAGTTCCAGACTGGCTATGTAATTGTCATCACTTGGATCCTGAGAATCATCAGCTACAAAATTTACAGTTTTCTTCCTTTGAATGGGTTTCCTAGGGGTTGTAGGTTTTGAGCGGCATGCTTTTTGAATATGTCCACGTTTATGACAGTTATGACACACCGTATCTTTGAAACGACAGTCCTGTGCAACATGCCCATTGCCATTACATCTATAGCACTGCTTTCTGTCTTTCTTATCACTCGGTTTTGAATGTCTGTTTTTCACATGCAATCTGTTCACGGCCCTTGTCTCTGTCCTGTTTTTACTCTGTAATTCTGTGGCGTCTTTAGCTGCGGCTTCCATTGCGAGACTTATCTCAACCGCCTTTTCATATGATAGATCTTTTTCTGACAGCAATCGTCTCTGAATTTGTGTATTTCTTACACCACACACTATTCTGTCTCTAAGCTTTTCATTTAATGACGCATTAAAGACACAATGTATGGATAATTTCTTTAATTGCGCTACATATTCTGTGATAGTTTCCCCCTCTTTTTGGTCTCTTTTATCGAAGCGAAAGCGCTCTGCCGTTTTAATGGGTTTAGGAGACAAATGGTTATTCAGTAGTCTTACCAGTTCTTGGTATGTTCTCGTGGCTGGCTTGTCGGGGAATGTCAGGTCACGAAGCAGGGAATACAGTTTTCCACCAATTAGACACAATAACGAAGATACTTTCTTCCCAGGGTCAATCTCGTTGACCTCGAAATATTGTTCAAAACGTTCCACATAGGACTCCCAGGACTCGATTGTCTCGTCAAATGGTTCAATTTTTCCGATCAATCCAAATGAAGTCATCTTGCGAATTAACACCACAGATCCAAACGGGCGGGTTATAATATCAGACAAGAACGGTTTAAAAAGTTTACCTCGTCGCCAATTTGTTGTGTTTTCGTGCTACTTTAGCATGAGCACATGTGTATTGACAAGAGCGCAGCCATTGTGAACTACTTTATTACAGAAGATATTCATGCGCGATGTAATAGTAACAGATAAACCAAACATAGACAGATATAATAATTCCGGATACAACACTAGTGTACATGTATATGCATAAAAGATTCAAGCAAACATTCAGAAATGTAGTGTCCTCATGCATTATCCTTCACAACTGATTCTGACAGGTAGGACTTATTGCACTTCTAATTTTCTGACCGGTAGAACATATTGCCCTTCTCATATTCTGACAAGTAAAACATGGTGCCTTTTATATTTGGACCGGTTCGACATATTGTCCTTCTTATAATCTGACGACCGTTCACGTTAGCTCAGTTGGTAGAGCGCTCGCTTCGTGATCGGGAGGTCGTGAGTTCGAATCTCGGCCGTCGATAAAAAATGAGTAGCAACTGTTCCTTTGCCATGCGCTTCGCATTTTGAAGTGAAAGTTGCAGGGCCTTCGGATGAGACCTTAAAAACCGAGGCCCCGTGTCAGCGGCAGGCGTTGGCACGATATAAAGATTCCTCTCTGCTCAATGGCCCTGAGTGCCGAGTAAAGGTCCAAATTTGAAGCCCTTCACCGGTATATGGTGACGTCTCTATATGAGTAAAAAAAATCTCGAATGGGATGTAAATCAACAGGCAATCAATCTTATATTCTGACCGGTACCGGTGTTGTCCTTTTTTCCAATTGAAGCCGGCATATTTTGTGCGAAATTGCCATTCTTTTCAAGAGAAATCAACATATTTTCTGACCACTATGATATCAAACCTTTTATACGAATCGTTTGATATTTCTCTCTTCATAGAAATTCCTTTTCTTCTGTTTTGCATTAAATATCGTAATGAGAGCAATCTAAGAGATAAATCTGTGCTGGTTCTGGTGTCTTACATAAACTTTTTGCTAATTTCATTCTTTGTATCAAAAAGTTCAGTACGACTGTGTTTATGACTTTGTTCAGGTGTAGCAATAAAAATGTTTAGTAAAAATCTAAATATCGGGCGATTACAAGGTCGAAAGGAAGACTGATAAGTTAGTTCTAGCGACAGTTTAGTTTAGTTTGAGGCTCCAGCTTTTTCTTACAGATTTAAGTGTCGTTTGGGTTCCGCCAGGACTACAGACAACACGTGTATCAGTACTGAAATGCATGTTTCGTGTGAAGAACGCACGAATGGTCCGCCACTGGTATATCATGCATATTTAATGGTCTGTAGATTTTATGTTGCGTGGTAAATGAAAGTCATTATTATTAAACATTCCGCATATCTTATAAGATTTGCTTTTATTTTGACCTCTAAACCACAATTTTTTAACAGAAATTAATCTTACCTTAATACTATTTAATTTAAAAGACAAAAATCTTTCCTACCCTCTTCTAAAATAATTATTTATGAAAAACGTTCAATTAGGAACTTACCCTTGTAGTGTGTGTATAGGAAGGGACATTCTATAAAATGTTAAAATTAGTTAAAATGCGTTACTTTAATAAAAATTTTTCTTAACAAAATGGATTACTCATATTTTTAGGCAAATTAAGAAATGAAATAAAATTTAAGACTTGGAAGCAAACTGAGAGTCCCTTTCCTATTTCCTCGTCTATTTGATCACTTTGATCCTCTCACGTTATCTAATAGATCTGCTATAGTTACTCGTAGGTCTCAAAAGCCTGTCCTTGATTTATTTCATCGTCAATAATGACAGATCCCCCCATTATTTCCAGGGACTATTCATTGCTTAATTTGGAATCGATTGCTACTTGTTATGCAAAATCCCCAAAAATAAATACATGAAGATTAGAGCACCGTAAAATGGAGACACGTATCATCACTAGGGTTGGAAGGTGTGTGTGTGTGTGGGGGGGGATCAGAGATCAAGGATCCTAACCGTCAGAATAGGCACGTTTTACAATTCCTCCTCCCGATCGAGGAAGAGTATAATATATCCATGAAATGTACTACTGAAAGCCATACCTGAAATGATTAAGAAGGGACCTTCATTGTAGGGACTGTCATTTAGAAAATGTTCTGAAATCCTTTACCTTCGTTATACGAAACAGTTTGTGAGCAAAGGGGAGTTACTCTGATGTATTTAGAAAAGTACCTATGATATACTAAATATAAGGTTTATTGTTTAAAACAATTATATATGATTTTACAGTTATATCTTTGACAGCATCTTGGTACGAATGGACATGATATCTGATACTTTAAATGTCCAGTACAGCAATCTCTGTTTCGGGACAAAAGTACCACTATAGAATCCGCGGCGTAACTTTTCTTGGATAGAGTCATTCCTAAGCAACAAATCCTAGCGTCACGCCATGTTGCAGTGGAAGGCATCTTGTCAGAATCAGCACAAGTAACCCCAAAAGAACCTCAAGTGACAGTACTAGGTCCATTGCTATTTCTTGTGTACATCAATGATCTACCTTGAGAAGTGAATGCAAACACCCACCTGTTTGCAGATGACTGTCATCTGTATAGGAAGATTTGCAGACCAGAAGACACAGCTGCAACAGGACCTAGACAGCTTACAAGAATGGGAAAAATGGTTAATAGAATTCAATCCTGAGAAATGTGACGTCATCCACATCGTGCGGAAAAGAATATTATCCAGGAAAGCTATTTCATACATTTTATTGAAACCCTTGATGCATATTTTTTGTAAGGATTTTTATGAAGATAAGGAATCCAGCATAGATATAGTAATTTAATTTCATTTTGATGATCGTGAATAATGAAAAAAATATGCAATAAAATATATATATATATATATATATATATATATATATATATATATATATATATATTTCAAATTGACTTATATGATGTTGAAGGGTTTCCTCTTTAGAAAGAAAACTATGGGTATAACTTTGATTACAACGAGCAGAACTGAATCCCAATATCTCTAAAAACAATTTAAATAATGAGCCTTACAACAATTAAGGCAGTTTTGTTGTCTGATTTTTTCAAGAACCAGTATTTTCTTATCGTATTACCACTCTAATTTTTTAAATATAAACTTCTAAACTAGTGAAGAGAGAACATAAATAGTGTTCATGTTACACTTTGAACACGAGATTTCTACATCCATCTGATAAATTAAATATCTAAAGGCTTTCTGATCTCATTGTCATATCTACTTTTCAATAAAAATGGAACCGTAAAGAGCTAGGTACATTAGTAGCAAAATTCCGCCCTGGTTCGAAAATCAAAAATAGTACATAATAAAATTAATCAGGATATGCACTTTATAAATGCATAAACATTTCTTACCCATCTTTTGTAGTTAAGTAGCTACAGCCTCTGGAAGTTGGGATGTATAAACTAAGCATTTTGTCTTATTTTAGCATTATGACGTCATTATGACGTTATTGAACATTAGGAAAAAAACAGCCTCTGCATTGTTTTCAGAAAATGAAGAAAACATAATATATTTTAAACAATGCATTGCTTGTTTTTATTTTACACGTGTAAAATTACGAGGGGCGTTCAATAAATAATGTCATTAGCTCGATTACATATAACATAGTAGTAATATGACATAAAGCTTGACTTTCTCTCATTATTGAATCTTTAATGAATTTATAACAGTTTATATGACCACTTTTCATCACATAGTTTTTTCGTGAGAAGCTGGGAAACAAGGGCTTCTCGAGACACTGCATTAAAAATGAATGGTAAAGAATCAGTAAACTATAGTGAAAATAAAAGCAACATTAAAGCTGCTGTAAAACTTGTTAAAAATTCCAAAGAAATATTCTCTGAAATATATGACATTTACAGCAATCGATGCCTGTTTTATAGACAAATTAGCAGGTGGATTTCAAAGATAAAAATTCATATAATTGGCATCAAAAATGGGTACCCTCCTTGCCAACAAAAATTATAACAACTTATTTACTGTTTGCCAAATTTCAACAAATAATATTTGATGTTGTATGATTGACGTTAAGACACATAGCAAATTTCATAGACATCATATCGGGAGTAGTTTACACTGTTTTTCAAAAACGTTTGACAGTAATTAAGCTTGGTACTCTATGGTCACCCTGTATTTCGAAAAATTAGTGAAAACGACAGCGTGTACAAAAGTCTTAACAATTATTTTAAAATATCAATAATTGTAATAATCCACGTTTGTTTTACATTCAAACAGATATTGGAACATGAATCTATTGCTTAAAACCATTAAATCAAAATTAACCGTAAGATGTACTTGATAAAAACGGCTAAGGTCTGTCTAGAGCAAAGGTATGCAAGAGCACAAAAACAGATTCATATACAATTTTCATAAATATTAGTGGTATTATTGTTCAAATTCGTATTCGGGGAGACAGTTTAATATCTGGAGGTGTCTAGAAAGCAGTTGTTTTGCAAAGAAATCGAAAGGTTTATCAGAGAAAAGACCCAGAACCTGGAATCGACTACATTGAATTTCTTCATTACAGCGTTTAAACCCGCATGCCCTAAAGAGTAATGGGGTTTACGGGATAAACAGAAAGGTGATGTTTTTCACATTAACAATATTTGCCAGATTTTTGACCTTTTCACTTGTTTCTATTTCCAAACTTGAATAAAACATCTTTCAGAAGGAAAAAACAAGTCCAGGAAATCATTGGATCTGCCATTTCCCAGTATACTAAGGGTCATACCCAAAAATGAGTTCTAAAAACAATCAGAAAATGGATAAAAAATGTTACGGACATGTGTTTGAATCAAAATAGATTAATAAGAAAAATCATGAAGACTAAATAATTGAAAAGCGTCGTTTGCTTCTTTCTGAGCCCCAATGACAATATTTATTGAACGCCCCTCGTATGTTTACTAAATTAAAAAAAATATTACATTTTTTTACTTCAAGAAATGCAGTTTTATAAAATTATCTTAATATTAGAACAAGCATTTCCTTTCATCAATCATTACTCAGTGACCTCTGTCTCACTGTCACTCTCATCAATGGCCTCTGGGATGTGAGCTGCATCTTCGACAGAGTCCAACCAGTTTTTGCTCATTTGTAAACTCACGTGTTCGTGTCTTGCAAAAGCCAAATACCAGATGACACTTGTTATATGGGCGCAGGCCCCTACTACTCTTGCACCTGACCTGCATCGACAGTACCACGATGTTACTGCACCATCTGAATATCATATCCAGCATTTATATTTGCTGCTTGATATGTGCCTGTTCTGAAGTTTCGCAACCAGAAGGCCCGGTAGTTGTTTGTCAATCCAGATTTCATATGTCCCATCTAGGTTAGTGTGTTCTTGAGAGTAATGCTTTGCCAGTTTCACTTGGTATACTCCAAGGGTTAGTTCTCGAACTTCGTCTTCGGTGAACCTAGGGAAGTCATCTAGATCTGTTGTTGCTTCATCTAACTTCACCCATCTGTGAGACTTTTTATCCAGTCCATGGGATTCAATTTCCTTTTGCAAGAGATTGCTTTTTGCTAGCAAATGTCGAATTTTTGCAGCCATGTTTAGATCACTCTCTTCGTTCCCAGTGCTAATAGGACATCTGTTTAACAGTGAAGAAGTTGAGAGCTAAGCAAAAACTACATGTAATTTTATTCTTTATGTGTGTGCTATTTCTGAATTAAAAATGACTATAAATATCTATCTCATTATACTATATAATTTAGTCTCTTTAACATTTTTGCACATTGCTAGATTTTGAAAAAGCTTTTTGATAGGACGAATAAACATGTACCAGCATATAATTATACCTTTGTTCTAGAAACATTATATTTACCTATATTTATTACAAATGGCGCTGACTATTCTGACGTAGTCTCCAATACATGGAATTTGAGAATTCGGGAGCTGTTTTCCAAGGTATTTCCATGTTTTGATTCGTGCATTCACTGACTCAACTACCCATCGGATCTATTTTTGAAAATAGAATATACAAGTACTTAAACTTTGATCTATATATTTTCATTCTTTACAAATACTAGATTAGGGAAAGCATATATGCCCCCACTTCCTTTCACTTTATCAATAAACTAGTAATTTAGAGAAAAATACCTTCGTTATAAGTCGGGAACTATTTGCTTCTTCGGTTGAATGCTGCTTTTGACCTTTTAAGAAGGACGGCATTTCAATGTTGATTCCAAGCTCAGATAATACTCCAGCTGAGTCCCTGAAACCGCGGTCTACTATCAGAATGTCATCTTCCTTGATCCACGACTTTATCTCTTGAACATTTGTTGCAAGAATATGGTTCAGGATCTTGGCATCAGAGTTCTTGCCATAAGCCAAATAGGGCCCAATAGTTGCAATGATGTATCCAGTAGTGGAAACAATCATCATAGGTTTAAGAAGATGTCGATGTTTCTGCATGCTAAACGGCCGCCGCTGGAATGCAAAATTTGTACTTTTCTGTACATAGATATATGTACCATCAAGTACTAATATTGCTTTCTCATCACCAAAATTGGGGGCAAAAAGTTCTTTTGCAAGTGGTCTTGTGTGCTTCTTGATGATGGTATATCTGGTCACCTGTTGGAATCCTCGGTGCTGTGGAACAAAGCTGTTGCACAAAGCCTGTCTTGCTGTTGATACCGCTCTTCGAATCTGAAGCACACACAGGTTAAATACCTTAGTATGATCAATTCTGTGGTAATATGCGCAGAAAAAACTATTTTTTTTACATATGGGATTTCTCGAATACCCCGCTTATGTCGAAGTCAATCGCCGGTCCCGGCCGTTTCCTCTCTTTATATGATTTAAAAAACACCTGATATCTCTAACACCGTAATCTCGAATACCCCGCTTATGTCGAAGTATATTCAAAGTCCCAAGCCCTAATTTTACCTGGCTTATCTCGAAGTGCAGTGAATGTTTTGGTCTGCTGAACACACCTGGCATTGTAACTTCACATATTCTCGCCAGTGGCTATTAATTAACACCTTCAAACCGGGGGATCTTAATTAATCCCAAGCTCATATTATTAAATTGAACAGTTCAGTGCGTAATGCACAGTGCAGTGATTGTATCTACGTATAAATAGACAACCTTGACCACCATTTGCAGTGTTAGTTTCGTAAACTTTATGTTTCTGAGTAGTACTTTTTAATGTTATACATGTAAGTTATTAATAATATTCAAGTACACAGTTTGAATACTGATTATTGTTTAGTGCTCTAAATATCATTTTGCACTTAATTTCATTAAATAATGTTTTTTAAAAAATCGTCTTTTTCTTTTCTTACGGAGAAGGTTTTTGAACTATAACGCTAATGATACATCCCGTTTGACCACGTAAGCATGGCCTGAAAATTTTAAAATCGCTGTATATGCAACAAGGTATGTATATTAAATTGTTATACAATGATACACGATAAATAAAACAAAAACTTTTTTTCCTTAATATTTATTGCGAATATGTTCGAGTCTTTACAGTAAAGACCACATGTTGGTAATAGTGTTATGCATGAAGATGTAAAAGAAAAAAGGGAAATTATTGAATCGACTTTGGAAGAAAACTTCGGATATCTCGAACCCCCGGATATCTCGAAGTCGTGTCCAGGTCCCCTCAACTTCGAGATACCGATATTTGTTATTTTACACATAGACTAAAAGATTTTTCAAATATATTGCCTACTGTTGCACATTTTAACTTTACAAAGCAGTTGTAAAATACCTGTGGTTTAGACATATTGAACATCACAGCAAGCATTTTATTATCCAAAGAGGTCTTCAGTTTGGTAAGAAGTATAGCAATACATGTTCTGATGCTTCTGGGTTTAGATGGTCTGATATCCGTTGATCTGACATACGTTAAAATGTCGTCAAAGTCCACTTTACTAAGACCTGTCAGTGTTTGGTAGTAATCATCATTCAGTGCCTCTGGGTCATCAAAGTCTAGGCGTTTTCTCCCCTTAACATTAGCTTCGTCTCTTAGTTGTTGTAGGAGTTCCATGATAGTTGATCTGTTTACAAACGAGTGATCTTTTGTACCTGGTATGATCTCTAATGATTCGTGAGTGAGTATTCCTTTTGTGAAATGTGAAGGACAGCACCGGGCTCCACTTGGTATCAATATGTTATGCGACAAAAAGACTTTAAACCTAACCTCCGCTGATACCACTAATGGCTTTGGCCCTGGTTTTTTTCATAGAATGCAATAGGCATGACTCTTGACGGTGCTGTAAATTGGTAGAGTAACTGATGGTGGACTTTGAATGTTTGTTGCTCTTCGTTTGCTGACTGGGCTGCTAGGCATTGACACTGCAGCTGAAGAAGGAACTTGTATATTTACTCCTGTGGAACAGGTAGCTGACTTCTTCTGCATAGATGAGCATTTATGTCTGCACTTGTTGCAGATGACTTTCCCATCCGTCCTATCTATCAAGAAACATCTATTCAGGATTCTACTTATACGTTTGTTTACTGTCCTTCTTTCTTTTGCGTTAGTGCGTTTATTACATAGAACACATGGATACTGCTTTGGACCTTGGCCAGGCATCCTGCAAGAAGTAAAGCAAATGGATATGTTATTCAGACTGTTAATGTCTACAGTAATCTTAAATATCTTTATAAAATTCATTTCCGGTCACGTGATTTCTTGTCCTCAAAATGAGAAGTTATCATAGCAAGATCTAAGAAACGGTAAGAAATTAAGACACCAAACTTACAGGAGTAATAGATATTGATGAGTAGGCAAATCCATTTGGATTAAGATTGTCTGGAGTCGCTTCCGGTCGTCACAGGAAATGATCAAAGAAATCGAAAATTTCAACTTTTCTTTTTTGAATCCTTCTAAGGATTTCTCAGAGATGGCTGAACGGATTTTCCTAAAATTTTCAGGGATGATAGAGAATGAAAATTCCTCGAGACATTTTTTTTTTCAAAATTCACTTCCGGTCGTCAGATATGTCCGATTTCCGCTTTTTTCAAAAATATTTAATCCGAGTAAGATCTCAGAAACAGTAACAGATTAAGGCACCAAACTTACAGGGAAGATAGATCTTGATGATTAGGCAAATCCATTTGGGTTAAATCGTCCGTCGTCACTTCCGGTTGTCACAGGAAATGTTTATAAATATCAAAAATTTCAACTTTTCTTTTTTTAACATTTTTTTGCCTCATATGATAGCATTTTACTTGTAATGTTGAAATATGTCAGTCCCACCGGAACCAAAAACGGCAACTTCCGGTTATAAGAGAAAAACTACAGAATTTGAGTATTTTTCTTTCCCATAAATATTTTTATTGATAAAGTATTTTGAATGATTTTTGGATATACAATTGAGACTGCAAAGTTCTACAGTAACGTCAAACATCTTTGGAAAATTCACTTCCGGTCGCGTGATTTCCTGTCTTCAAAGTTAGAAGTTATCATAGCTAGATCTCGTAAACGGTAAGAGATTAAGTCACCAAACTAATAGGGATGGTATACCTTGATAACTAGACAAATCCATTGAGTTTAAGATTGTCCGCCGTCATTTCCGGTTGTCACAGGAAGTGATAAAAAAAATCAAAATTTTCAACTTTTCTTTATGGAATCTTTCTTAGTATTGCCTTATAGCATCTAATTTGTATTTTTGAAATATGTCAGTCCCACTGGAAACAGAAACGACAACTTCCGGTTATGAGAAAAAACTGCATAAATTGAGTATCATACTATTCCATAAATATCTTTAATAAAAAGAGTATTTAATATGATTTTAAGACATGTTATTCAGACTGCATATGTCTAGAGTAACCTCAAATATTTTTTTTAAATTTACTTCCGGTCAAGTGATTTCTTGTTCTCAAAATTAGATGTTAAAATTCGAGATCTTTTAAACTGTTACAGATCAAGACACTTTTCCTACCATGAAGATTGTGCAACAGACATAGGGTAAAATGCATTCACCGTCCCCTCCGGTCGTCTCAGGGAGTGATTAAAATGATATTTATAAGTGTTATGAAGACTATAACTGTCTAAAGTAACGTCGAGAATCTTGATAAGTTATACCTCCCGCCTTTTGTTTTCCTGTAATCGTTGTAAGACCGTTTTTGTTGCTTTAGCAAAAAGAGTTTCTAGTTATTAGTATAATCATCATTTTAATTATTGTCTCAAATTGTTTATAGCTTTTCTCTTTTCTTTATTCTATGTGAAAAGAACCAGTTTATCTGTGTACGTATTATTTATAGCTTTTCTTTTTTCTTTATTTTATGTGAAAAGAATCATCAAATGTCAATGTGTAATGTAGTCTATCTGTGTGTTAATTGTGTTAATGTTTGTTATCAATAAAAGAGAAAAAAAAGATCGGGCTCGTCTAACCGCACATGACATTTGATGCGTCTCGATTCTGACGTCACATGACGTCGTATGTAAGTTGCAATATACAAAGAAGAAGCCTGAACAGGGCTGAAAGTTAATGAAGAACGTTCCGTTTTCTATTTATATTAAACATATATCCATTAAGTAAAGGCGAGTAAACTTTTTGTTGAACATTTGCTGTAATTCTCGCGAGAACGTAGCTAAAACAAGTGATGCATTGTGGGTCGAAATTACGGCATCAAAAAATTCTATCGAATGAATGTGCAGTAGTCCGAATTTTCTCTTCGCACAGGCGTTGCTTTAAGAGCTCGCAGTGACGAGCGTCTCTTCGCGACGCTTGCTGCGCTCGCTATTAGTAGTCTACTAGAAAGATATGGACCTTCAATTAGAATAGTCTTTTAATTTGCAAAGAATCTTAAGGAAAATACTTGGAAATGTGAATATATCTTAAACAACATCTCAATACGAGTTGTCTCTTATACTTTAAGAGTCTAGTACAACAATCTCTGTCGGGATACCAGAAGATTAACAAGTCAATTAACAAGAATTCTTTTGGTATAAGAAGAAAATTAGAAGAATTATAAATAAAACTGTGAAGAGCGCATAGACACACACCTCTGAAAATTTTTGAGTTGTACACAGTTGCCAAAGAAGATTAAGCATTCCCTGTTGACGGGTCACACCCTCAGCGAGCATATCTACTGATGAGGTACCCGTAGATGGAACATTCTGTAGTCTATTTCAGTATAAAAACAAGGGCCTAACAATTTATATGAAACAAGTCACAGCTTAAGCACGACCCAATGATAGGTTATATTTGCTAACTAAGTCATTCTGACGACCATAGAATACA